CCAAGTCTCACCCTAACCTCTTTCTCTCCCCATCATTGTGCACTAGCCTCTTCTCCAGCCGCTGCCAACCCTGATCCGCCGATGACGATTAGGTCAATCTACGTCTCCCCTTCCTCCTCGCAGTCATGCCTTCTAGTTCCTTATATTCAACCTCGGTTAAGGTATATGTTTTGTTTCTATGCCAAGGCACCCCTCTTCAATTCTTTCGATTTTGACTCTAAATCTAGAAAAACACAATTTCCTACTATGGGTTTTTAGATTCAGATCCCCATGATTTCAATTTCAAGCAGTGCATATACCAATTGGGCTCATTCCAAAATCGACGACTCTCGGTATTTCACAATTGGGTATTTCGTTTTGTTTCTCTATGCCTTCTATTTTTTTTAACTTCCACTTTTAAAAATACCTTGATTACTTTTAAGTTTTAAATAAATGAAAGAATGAGCCACTATTACTTTGAATGTTCTTTGTTTTTTACTTCGTAGGTTTATATGGTCATTTGGACTAAACATTCGATTAGTGCTAAGATGGAAATGAAATGTTTGAGGCGGGTTGGGACTCCTGAAGATAGTATCACCTATTAATAGGCCAACGGTTTAATTTCTCAACCTTTATTGGTTTGTTGCCTTTTCCTGATAAGTTTCTTATATTCAGTTTTGGAATTATAGGAGGGGACTAAAATTACCTTTGAAAACCTTCAAGGGAGAAAACTTATAGATATAATTCATGAACAAACTGCAAAAGTTCCTTCTCAGATTTCACACTTTCAATCATCGATCCAAGATGTGGTATTGCAGTTGAAGCCATGAGGTTTAAGGTATATATGGTGATGGTTATTTTGTGAACTGAATTCTTTCTTTTTTTTTTGGCTGGATAGGATGCTAATTAAGTAGAAAAAGTAGTTATGAGGTTACCTTTTTGTGGATTTGAAATAACTCTATTGAAGAGTAAAGACAATATCACTCTCTATTCTTCATTTGTGAGCATGTGTAGTATTTTCTTTAATTTATTAGGAAAACCTTTTATGGGTAAACTACACCAAACATTATTTAAGTTAGTTTAGAAAATGCAATATGTTAAACTACTTCCGTCCAAAGGGAAAAAAAATTCAAAAAACAGACCCTTATTTCAAAATGTGTAAAAAGACATAATTTAATTTTTTTCCCCTGATTTTTATAGGTGTATGGACCAGTTGGGGAGGGATCTTAAATCAAATTGATTGACATGGTCAGTGGCAAAGTGTGAAAATACATGTTAGTTATCTTTGTTATCTAAACTCTAAGGTTGCAAAACATTCAAGGTTCATTTCATTGCTGATACAAATTATAGTTCTTTTGTTGTCTCATAAAGTTATTGGTATTTATTACTCCATTGCATTTATCCCATGAAAAGAGTCATATTCGTTTAATATAAAACTTTTGAATATTGTTGAGGTAAAAGTAGTAGAAGAGAGAGCGTGAACAATTTCCTAGTATGCCTTACTCACTAACTTGGGTTTCTTTAGCATAAAACTCAATGGCTTGATACTTACCTTTCAATTGTATTTTTTGTAGGCGATTGCATATGTGACACATATTCAAGTATGGAGTTATCAATTAGACAAAAGGTTGCATAAAGATTTGACTAGTCGATATACAACAACATAATGAGTCCTACATTGGTATTTTAAGTTTATTTCAAGTGATATGGTTTACTTTTTTTTTTGACAGGCAGTTAACATTAAACCAATGGGATGCCTTGACAGAGATGACTTGAAGAAAAAATTATGGTGAAAACTTTTTTGAATGGATTTCATTCCCTGTATATGAATGAAAAAGAGATTGTAGCTATTTCATTTATTAATAAATACATTTATTGAATTTTGTAAATAGGAATTGTATTTACGTTATTCACTTATAGCTCAATGAAATTTTTGTGCAAGTGAATCTGTACTCCATAGCATAGGCTTATAGCTCAACGAAAATTTGTGTGCAAGTAAATTTGTACTCCATAGATGATAGATTAGAATAGTATTAAAATTATTTTTTTTGAAAAAAATCTTTTAGACAACAGCGGATATATATCCGCTATGTAAACTATAAAATTTTTTATGTTTTCTTGTAAACTATACCGTTTTTAAAGAATCCTTACACAGCGGATATTTATCCGCTGTGTAATCTTGAACGGTTTTTAACAAACATTACACAGCGAATAAATATCCGCTGTGTAAACATGATACCTATTGCACTGGTCACATACACAGCGGTTGGTTTGCGCTGGGAAATATCAAATTTATCCGCTGTGTATTCCCTATTGTGTAGTAGTGACACTTCACTTGGGGGACATTCTATAGTCTTTGTGATTCCATTGTACGTCTCAATCAATATCCCTCTCATTGTCCATTGACTTTCAAATGTCTATCAACAAACTTGGGTTAGTTTGTCTTCAATCAGTATCCCTCTCATTGTTCATACTTCATTGTACTTCATGTTTGAACTAAAATGACCTCATTGAAAGTGTAATGTCTATATGTTAGTAGCTTAATGTCTCCACAATAATAGAAAGCTAGTATCCTTGTCCTTATACAAAACATAATGTCTCCTTGTTCTTTTAATGTCTTTTGTTTCAACTCATCGACTCTCGACTTTAATGTACCTCACGCTATGTCGCTATATTTTAATGTTCTTACACAGATCACAATGTTCTTTGAGGTTGCATTCTAATGTCTTAGTGTCATATCATAATGAGTTAAGTCTTTCTTTATTGAAATTTTTTATTAACACTTCACACAATGAAATACTCTATAGTCTTTAATTAATTTGTGCAGTGAGCCATTGTACTTTCGAATTAATACACCCCTCATTGCCTACTGACCTTGAAACATTTTTTATTATGCCAATATTTTCCTAATTATGTAATATTAAACTGCCTTAAGTAGGGCAATGTGTTTTAAATGACTTGGTACTCTGTACGTTTTTAGATTTAATGTCTACTTTTTTTAGTGTATATCATATATATCAATGCTTATTAAGTACGTTGTGCATTAGTATTCCTATGCATAACCTAAATTTTAAATGTCAATGCAACGATGAGAATAAGGACTGTTACTGCGCGCTAAATTGTACATTCACAACTAGTTTTAAGTTTTAAATGTCACACTCACGACATTGTCACGTTGTAACTGCCACACTGCCATCTGTCACTGCCATTTGTAACAGAGTGCCGCTGTGGATCAATGATGATTGATTGATTAGAGTATCATCACTTTTGCATCACACTACCAACACGTGTTCTTAGACCACACTACCATTGTACTCCTATTTTGGTATTAAAAGACTTAGAACTCCTATTTTGATATTTTTCATACTTTTTTACTCTTATCTAGGGAGATTTCTTTACATTAAGACTCTGTATAGTGTGTAAAATATTAAAACCCACCACTCTATATATATTTATTTTATTTCTTACCATTCAATTTAATCTCTATTGATTACCTTATTTATTTCATTACATTTGTATGGTTTTTGTTATTTTTCTCATTTTTTGTTATTTTTTTATTTTTTTCTAAGGTAAGACTAGTATTTAAAAAAGAAAAAGAAATGGAGGTAGAAAGTAATTTTTTAAATTTAAATCGAAATTTCAAAAAAAAAAAATTAAAAAATAAAAAATTCATCAAAAGTAATCTCAACTTTCATTTTGTTGCGCAAAATAAAAAATTTCATTAACCCGCTGTTAGCAATATAACGACGATCCAAAACTCATAAATTTTAATAAAGTTATTATGCACCATATTGAAAGGTGGAATTATTTTTGAAGGATAAAGTAAAAATGGAATTATTTTGAACAATTTTTCCATACTTTAAAGACCTTGGATAGTCTTAAGCCTATTAAGCTGACGGCCTGCGGCAAGTTCGAATATCATCCCAAGCTATGAATTTTCTTTACTCGCAAGCAAGATTAGCAAACAATCTCTTCAACTCTGACCACTGACAAGTAAAAAAACATACTGCGAGTTACCTCTCCTACCATCTCTAAGGGCACGAGCGTGGGACCCCTAGGGTGGTGGTACACTTTATAAGGCCATGGAGTATGCCACGGGAAGAGAGAAGGGGAAAGTCGACTTATGGCTGGGCTAGCAGGAAGGAATTGAAAGGGAGCACCACCACCCTATGTGAGAACGGAAAAGGCGGGATCCCCTTCCCGTTTTTCTTGTGCGGGTCCCTTCTTCAAAAATGACCATTCCACGGTCATAAAGTCTTTTTTAAGTTTTTTTCCAAATCTAACCGTTAAAATTTAAAAAAATTAAAACTTTAAAAATCACTATTTAAACACATCACTCAGACACTTCTATCCATCTCTTTGAACTATAGTAGTATTTTTATTTAATATTTTTCACATTTTTTAGTACAACGGATCTATTACGACCACTTGTGTCTTTCTTGGATCCCCCCTTTTCTGTATTTGCGGCTTACGTTCAAGCGCCGAGCAGATTCAATTCTAAATGTAACAATTTCAAGAATGGTAAGAAGTTCAGTGGCAGCAATTTTAGAACCCGTGGCGCTCGACCGTCTAGACCACCGCCACGTCACCAACGCATGCAAACGCTCCCTACACACGACGTTTTTTCCTTTTAGAGGACGATATCGATGAGGTTGTGCCCGAAATATAACCTCCCAAAAATCGAAAGAGAAGGGAAAATGTGAAGGGGAACAAAACACGATTCAGAGTGCGCCAAAAGCTTGAACTACGAATCGAGGATGAAGCATTACCAAAGTTTGAGTTAACATTTCCACTGACCCGATAAAATGTGTGTTTAACTTGAATTAATTTTTTTTTTAAGATAAGATTGGAAGGGAAAGGGGAATGGAAGTGGATACATATTACATACCCAACAAAGTGAGGAACGAGAAAATATGACAATTTGGATCCAATTGGTGATGACTATTGTCAAATCAAACTAGAGAGGCAATACTATTAAAAACTAATAGAAGAAGAGAAGAGAATACAACTACAAAAAACACAAATAATGTTTTAATTTCTTAAAAGTGAAATCAAAATGAGAAATCCTTGGAGCGGCCGGAAGATTTGTTACAGTGAGCAATGGCGGCCTGAACAGAGTTGTCCCTGGTGTACACCACCGTTCCGCCGAAGGAAGTAGCCGCCCACTGGTGGCGATGCAGAGGCGTCGACTTCACGGAAGCAGGGCAGCTTTTGGAAGGCTTGCCGCCGCCTCTGCCGTGATCAGACGGCGACGGCGACGACGCGACCAGCTCCCTGAGCTTCATCCCCAACAGTAGCACCGACGATCGGGGTTTCTCGGCCGCCGCCTGGAAATTACTTGTGGGTGGGTGACGAGGAGGAGACTTGACGGCTGGTGGGGTAAAGCGGGCGGAGGTGGAGGGAGATGAGGATGCGGTGGCGGCAGAGGCGGCGGATTTGGGCGGTTGGTGGCTTCGGATTCTCCAGGCGGCCTTCCACGGGAAACTCATAACGAAGCACCGGAATTTGAACATGACGGCGTTCATTATTCTGCGCTCCGTTCCGCCCCTCTCTTCCTCCTCCTCCGCTCTCCCACTTGGCCACGACCCTCCTTTCCTGCATCAGCAATTCAGCATCAAATGTTAGCCACCGTGAAAATGTCCTTTTTTTTGGACCATGCTACACTTACACAAAAAAATATACCTCATTTGTACATTACAGGTTTGCACAAATATTTCGATGGTTTACACCGACACAAGTGTTGGTGCGTTAATAAAAATTCACACGGACACAAATGTTGGTGCATTTAACAAAAATTAGTTTTACACCAACACAAAGTGTTGGTGCAAAACTGCGGGTAGGGATGTAAACGAACCGAATCGAAGCGAATACCGATATATTTGAATTTGTATTTGTTTAATTTTTTCGAATATGAATCCGAATATGAGATGAATTCAAAATAAGATTTGAATAAGTATTTGATTAATATTCGAATAGTTATCGAATCATAAACGAATATTTGAATAATCATACTATGTAATTTATATGATGGATCAACATCAATTTGTAATTTAACTTACGGAACTCTTTATACTATACTATATTCGGTATATAAAAACATTAATACATCTGCATCTTACACAAATTATATTTTATAAAATATAACTATTAAAAATCATATGTTTTAGATTTTTGTGTTGTGTTAATTTATTGAATTTTTAGTATTTTAAATACACTTTATACTATATTACTTTGCTTGACTTTTGATGTTGAAAACATGGTCTGTGTATATATACATATATTCGAATATTCGAATATCATCCGAATCGAATATATCCCTATTTGTATTTGTATTTGATTAATATTCGAATCAAAAATAATATTTGAATTTGAATTTGTATTTGAATAACGCGAATTCGAATCATCATATTCGAATACAAATCGCGAATCGAATTTAAAATATTTGATTTGTTTACATCCCTAACTGCGGGGTACAAATTGGGGTACAAAACTTGGGGTACACATAGCATAATCCTTTTTTTTTGTACAAAGAGAAAAAATCGTCTAACATCACCGTGTAAAATTGTATGGTTTCAACATTTTTATTTAAGAGATAAAATATACTCCCTCCGTACTAATAAAAGCTTCCTAATTTGACTTGGAGTCAAAATAAGGAAGTGTTAAATTATACTCCGTAGTTGACTCCAATTTTGCCCCTGATGTGATGGGTAAAATAAGATGTGATAAATAGATTATTAGAAAAAAAGTATAACGTGATAGGTAGGGTGTGAAAAAGTAAGTGTAAAAGTAGTCCACATGAGTACCCACGTGCTTCGCCTAGCCAGGCCAATATTTTGTAAAAAATTATTCGAGTAAAAAAAATACTTGCTCAGTTCTCGAGTATTTGCCTACTTTTAATTTTTTTATTCAAAATTGGTAAACTTTGACATCAAATTAAATAAAAATGATATTAGATTTTGATACAAAATAGTTTAATTAGATTTATTATATGAAATATTTTCAAAATGTTATTTTATCTAATTAATATACAATATATATTTTATTTAATTAGACGTCAAAAATTAAAAATAATTGACTAAAAAAATCAAAACTAGACAAATACTCAGGGACGAGGTATATTATATGTTTGGTAAAAATAATTATGAAAAATACACTTCCAAAGGAATGACTATTGTATGCAATAATCCGTATAATATATTTTACGTGATGTTGTCACTATTATTTATCCAAAAATTATTATTAATGAACAACGGACAATATGAAAAATATGATTGTTTGACTAAATAATTTTATAATTCTTTTTTTAATTCTTAGAAGTATATACATGTGTTTGTATATAATACCAAATACTTCCTCCGTTCCAGACTATTTGTCCACTTTCATTTTTACACACCATCCAATGCACTTCTTTAATCCATTTTATCTTGTAATTTGTATATTAAAAAATTATAGAAATTATATATTAATAATCTATATATTAAGAGAAATCAAACAAGATCATACATGACTATATTTAGGCTTACACATTGAGAGAATTTGATGAGTCAAAGTACTTAGATGAACAGTTTCAAAAGTCAAAAGTGGACAAAAACTGGGGGACGGAGGGAGTAATAATAATAATAATAATAATAATAATAATAATATTGATGATTGTACTATTATTATTACTGTTATTATTATTATTATTTCCATTATCATTTTTGTTCTTATTATTATTACGGGAGTTAACATATTTATTGGAAAATGAATATGTGATTTTTTATTTGGAAGAATCACCTTGGTACCATTAGATCAGAAGGTCTTTAGAATCAAACACTTAGTTCATTTGGAGTGTAAAAAAAGATAGATGTTGGAAAAAATTGGAAGGAGTTAGAAGAAGCTAGAAAGTTAAAAAATATTTGAAAGAGTTGGAAAATGTTAGAAAAAATTAAAATGTTAAAAAATTATTCAATTAATTAAATAATCACTCAACTAAATATGTATAAAATCTAATTTGAATAAAAAAGGATTCATTCATATTTGTCCATGATTGAGGTGATATGTTTTAAATTTGGATATATGATGTTATATATTCATCATATTGAAATACTTTTTAGTCATTTTTGGAATAAACTGAAAAAAATTGGAAAAAATTGAGAGTTAACTTTTCCAACTCAAATGAAGAGACAATAATTCAAATGGCAAGTCATTCTATTAATAAAAGAAATCAACTTAAATAGGAGTAAAATATAGAAAAAATATTGAAGTATGAGCTCCATATTTTTATACCCAAAATAGGATTGCATTGTTGTAATATAAAGTGACACTGTTTTTAGACATTTCACAATACTTTTTTGTAATGTATATGGTCATGATTGATACTGTATATGCATTTTAACTCTTATTTCAGGAATAAAGACATAGAACTCATATTTTAATACGGAGTACTATATTTTTAATGTCTTATTCATATTTTAATTTTTTTCCCTATTTATAATACGAAAGTTTATGAACCCATCTGCTTATGTGCCCGTATTAGCTTAATTCAGCACTGTCCAATTGAAATATTTGCACTAAATAGCACTAAAACATAAGTCATTTCTCTAAATAGCACTTAAGTTGTTTTATTCTCTAAATAGCACTTAATAATGTTCATGATGACCAATGATGACAAAAATTTACTTGAATAATGACTAATGCATAATGACTAAAAGTGCTACATTGGAAAAAAACACATGTAGGGAAAGTCATTATATTTTAGTGCTATTTACGTAAATTTCTCATTAGAATTTCAGAATTTGAAGTAACTTTTGGTTGACTTACGTAATGACCTAATTTACATTCACTAAAATTCAGTTTAGACTTTAGTGTTTGATGCTTTCCACTTATTGTTAGCTCAATTAAACAGTTCGAAGTTAAATTAAAATACTAGAGTGAGAATTAAGTGTTGGAATTAGAGAAGGAAGAACATTGCGAAGCAGTGTTAAAAGAAGAACTCGATAGTATAACAAATCGCGTACGAAACGCTTTCAGATTAAAGTTATTTCGGGGTATACGAAATACTTCAATCGGATAAGACGTTAATTCAGAACAAGCACTCGAAAAAATGGTATCTCAATCCATACCACGAGACTTCTAATTTATAGAGTCTAAAATTTCCATGATCGGACATGAACCTTCGCGTAAACATACGCGTACGTTCGCGCGGAGAAGAAGATAGGCGCGAGTTTAAACGAGGAGCTTCCTGCGGTTTTTGGGGTATTTTGATGTTTATCCGTTAGTTCGAGTCCTTTAATGATTTGGACTCCGATCACGAAAATCTTAAGGATTTTCATAAAGAAATAACGTCCGAAATAAAAAATTTCCAAGCTGTCGACCCCGGCCAGGGGCTCTGCCCCTTGGACCCCGCCAGGGGCTGCCACCCCTTGGACCCCGCTATCCCGGGAGCTGCCGCCCCCGGACCCCCGCAATGAATTTATAATATCGTTGAACGAGCGCGCACTCTGCGCCTCCGAACTCGTTTGACAACGTCTATTTAAATTCTTGTCTGATCGAAGCAAATCCAATTACACAAAATAAATCGATGACACTAAAATCACCAACATTAAGTTCAATCACTATTTACCAAACCATTTGAAAATCCATTCTCCATTTTGATACAATATTAGTTCGGTTCGGAACAATGCATAGTCAAGATTCTTGTTCACCCCAAATCCGTGACTAGAGTATTGTAGGACTCGCTTCAGTGACAAAATTCATGTTTTTTCGCTGAGTATAGAGAAACGAAAACAGAGACTAATTAATATACCTGCTGGAGCTGAGAAGCAGTTGTTTGGAGTGAGTTTCAGGTAGCGCATAGTCGTGGCATTGGTCACCGCTTTTGCCCCTTGGGTTCCCCGGCGGCAAGAGATGGCCTCCTCTCCGTTTGTCAGGAGGAGCGGGCTTACGGGCCGCCAAATACGACACCCGAAATTCAACTCCGTCGTCTTCTTTCTTTTTCTCTTCTTCCTCTTTCTCCGTCCGACTTCGCGGGCCCAGGTTTATCTCAATGTACGCGTTTTCGTCGTCCTCCTCTTCTTCTTCTTCTTCCTCGCGAATGCAATAATGAACACTCTCCATCGATCTAAAATCACTTCAATTAATTAGAGTGGGAGGAGAGGAGTGACAATATAATTAAGAGGAAGAAGCTATTAATAACACTCCCTAACGTAATTCCATGGGTTTGCCAGAGTCAAAGACTTGGAATGGCTTGACTAGGAATAGATAGCCCCTTCGTTGACCATCCATGCTTTTAATGGACTAATCTCCTCTTTACTGTTGTTATGGTGGAATCTTGGTAAATTAATACTGTTGTTTTTTTGTTTAAAACTGTTTCGAGGACATAAGGAGTAGTTCCTTTGCATAGTCCTCCTCAATTTTGATTTAATTTGTACCAAGTGATTGGACAAATGCCATGCATTGTGATGATATAGGAGCAACATGCCCACCTAAATTTGAAAATCCGCCAGACAATAGGTCTACTAACCACGTAGGTAATGCAACACTCTGCCTCCCACAACCCACATTTTAATTTTCATTTTTTTAATTAAACGTGAGGTTCTCTTGATATTGGACTAAGATAATTTATGATGTCACTGCTTTTTAGAGACACCTACAATGTTTCGTTCAAAAAATTGACCGTTCCAGCTACCCCTTGCCCTATGTCCCTTTAGCTAGGGTGTGGAGACACAAGATGTCTCATTGATGATACCAGCCCTATTCACGAAAGTAATCCTTCGATCCTTCAATTTTTGTGTCGTTATCACTACGAACACACTTAGGGCCTGTTATTTAGAGCTCGAAAAAAAGAGTTGGATATGGGAAGAAACCGAAAAAAACTAGAAGGAACTGAGAGAAACTGGAAGAACTAGAAGAAATTATAAAAAACTAGAAAACCTGGAAGGAATTGAAATAAACTAAAAAGAACTGGAAAAACAAGAAAAAAATGGAAAATCTTAAAAAAAACTTTAAAAACCTTATTTAAGTGTATTTTTATATTAGGAAAAACTAATCAAAATAACCCCAACTTTATTCAGTCTTTTAAAAATAGACCTTTCATTCGGATGCATTAATTATCCCAACTTTACTGAAACTTGCGAGTTTTGGGTCACCGTTAAGTTTCTAACTTCTGGTTAACAGAAACGACCTCTTTTGCAGAACAAAATGAAAGATAGGATAATTTTAAATTTCATTTAGATTTTTAAAATGACTTTCTACCTTCATTTCTTTTTCATTCTTTAAAGATTAGTATACCTTAGAAAAAATAAAAAATAGATATTAAAAATAGCAAAATTGAGAAAATTGACTAAAACCATACAAAATTAATGATATAAATAAGGTAATCAATAGAAGTGGAGTGTTCTAACATTTTACACACTATATAGAGTATTAATGTACTACTTACTTCTTGAAAGAATGGGTAAAGACATTAAGTAGAGATTATTCTAGATAATTTTTCCTAAAAATAAGAAGAAGTGGTACATTAATGCTCTATATAGTGCGTAAAATGTTAAAACCCAACATTCCGTAAATTTTTATTTATTTCTTAGCAATCTTAGGTTAATTTCTATCGATTACCTTATTTATTTCATTAATTTGTGTGATTTTAGTTATTTTTCTCATTTTTGTTATTTTTTTATTTTTATCTAAAGTTAGACTAATCTTTAAATAAAAAAAGAAATGACGGAGGTAGAAAGTCATTTTAAAAATTAAAATGAAAATTTCAAAAAAAAAAATAAATAAATGAAAATTCATCAAAAATAATTTCAAATTTCATTTTTTGTGCAAAACATGCCATTTCCGTTAACCCGTTGTTAGTAACTTAACGATTACCCAAAATTCATAAATTCTATTAAAATTAGAATTACTATTCATCACGGTGAAAGTTGTAATTATTTTTGAAAAATTGCGTAAGTTGGGATTATTCTAGATAATTTTTTCTTTAAATTATTGTCATTCTAATTGTTGTTGTTATAATTTATAAACTATTATTATTATTATTAGTATATTCATTATTATTATATTAATAATTACGTTATGTAACAACCCTAATCCGTCTAGGTCTGCAGCTCCTTTCAGACCAAAGTATTAACTTGGTAATCGTAAAAATTTAAAACATTTCAAACACTTACAAATAAATATAAAATTATATCGTTGGATAGAGTTTAACTGTCGGATCACACCGGTGCAATCAGAACTTAATTTGAAGAAACTTGGACCAAAAAGTGTACCCCGACTAGGACCAAATTAGTCCCAATTAAGGAGTAACATGCTGATGAATCTCCTTAAGTCGCACTATCGCCCAACAAAGATCGTGAAATTGGAAATCCTACGCAGCGGGCATTGGCAACATCCTCTTCCTCTTGCTATATAAGCATACTCAGCGCCTCCCATTTCTTCACAAATCCTTCCAAAGTTAGTTTCTTTGTGTTCCTTGTTGAGTTGAGAGTTCATTGGTGCTGCTTAGAAAGCTTGACGTCACCAGACTCGGGAGTAATCGTCGTCGGAAGTTTCGCCAAAAAATTTCCAAAACATTCGTTTAAGCTCGAGTTAAACCCGTACGTATATCTAGTGACTAGAATGTTCGTATAGATCGTTTCTACGTTCATAAACAGTCGTTTTGGTTGAGTTTTGTGTTTGACATGTTTGAAGAACCAAGAATCATAAACCTTGAAATTATTGTTAAAACTATGAACTAATGTACTAAAATGATCAATGAACTTTGGAGAACATTTCTAAATAGTTTAATTGAAGTTTGGTGACATAAAATGACATTTCCGAAAATTGGCCCGATGTTAAAGATGAGACTGTTCAAAACTACGCGCAGTACGATATCACCATACCGCCCGGAAGGTACCTAGGTACCGCCGGCACGGTAGGCGTTACCGTGACCACGGTAGGCCATCTACCATTGGCTACTCCTCCATTGGCGGTTGCTAGAGGCGACCGGTACCGAGGTACTGTACTGGGTACCGTCTAGAACCCAATCTTTTCCCCTATACCCGATTTTTGAAATATTAAATCCTATTTTTGAAAGCAATCAATTAAAATCAATATTAATATGATTTCTGAAATAAATATGATATTTTGATAAATCCAAGAATCTAGTTTGACGCATGACGGTAAGTTAGTGTGTTAACACTTGACGCTATGCCGCTATTTGTAATTGGATATATTATTGATTGATGATTATGATGAACATTATTGATTTATGATTATGAAAATGATGTGTATCATTAAGGATATCTAGAATAACTTTAAGATATATCCATGTTGATGTTGCTTTCTAATACTCCCTCCGTCCCGGAGTATTCGTCCAGTTTTGACTTTTGGAACTGTTCATCTAAGCACTTTGACTCATCAAATTCTCTCAATGTGTAAGCCTAAATATAGTCATGTGTGATCTTGTTTGATTTGTATTAACATATAGATTATTAATATATAATTTCTATAATTTTTTAATATACAAATTACAAGATAAAATGGATTAAAGAAGTGTATTGGATGATGTGTAAAAATGAAAGTGGACAAATACTCTGTGACGGAGGTAGTACTATTTATATGACCTCTAAGATAGATTATGTAATACCCCGTATTAAGATGGGAATGGGAAGAGCTCAAAAGGATTGATAGTATTACTCATACCAACAAGGTGCATCTTCTTTTCGAGAGCTCATCACCTAGAAACTCCAAAATTAAGCATGCTTGACCTGGTGCAATTTTAGGATGGGTGACCCCCTGGGAAATTCCTTGGGCGCGCACGAGTGAGGACAAAGTGCACAGGAAAGACTTGTGTTTGTTTGTGGGGCCAGTCTACAATCCTTTGAGCAAACAATAACGACCAGGGTGGGGGCCGGGGTGTTACAGATTAGAAATAGGCCTTGCGGGCATAATTATGAATATTTGGTGGCATGGGTAAAGACGTACTTAGGGGATCCTCAAACCAAACTTGAGTATCACTTGTTTGGGGATACCACCCAACTCGATAGTGAGCATTCCGTTGTTCGGTTTTTAGATTGTACCTTAAGCGAAGGCTAGTTTAAGAATTGGAAAACCTTTTTTTAAAAATTGTACCTTAAACTAGCATAGCTTAAGAGTTGGTTAGGGGTACCTTAAACTAGAATATAGTTTAGGAATTGGTTAGAAGTATCTTAAACTATAATTCGTTTAAGAGTTGGTAAACATTTAAGAAATTGGCCTTAGAATAAGAATAGTTTAAGGATATTGTTGATTAATGTTGAATATGAATATGAGGGTTGAATATTGATTGTTGAATATTGATTATTGAATGTCTGAACTGAATAAATCAAAATGGATCTCTAAACTATCTGCGCTTCTTTAATTAATGAAGTAGCAGTTAGTTAAGCAATGCAACTTTCGACGTTGAGCCGGGGGTCTCTTTGGAAACAGCCTCTCTACTTTCGAGTAGGGGCAAGGTTTGCGTACACACACCCTCCCCAGACCCTACTCTTGTGGGATTTAACTGGGTTGTTGTTGTTGTTGTATGTCTGAACTGAACATTGTGTTCATGATATCAAATTATTTGATTATGAATTGAAATTTTATTTATATGGATGTTCGACGCATTAGATATCCTTACTCAGCTTTACCGTTGAACATGTTGTACTCCATCCGTTCTTAAAAACTCTTCCTCTTTCATTTTTTTACTTCGAACAAAACACTTCCACTTTCCATTAAAAAACCAATTTTACCCTTACTTTTTCATACCCTACCGATCACATCATACTTTTTCTCTAATACTCAATCCATCACATCTTACTTTTACCCATCACATCAAGGGCAAAATTGGAAGTCAACTATAATTTAACACTTCCTTATTTTTACACAAAGTCAAAATAGAAACACTTTTATAGAACGGGGGGAGTATGTTTTATTTGCTACACACATGTGAACAAAAAGAATGAAGTGATGATTTCCTGAAGGCAGATGGGGCGAGATGGTCAGGATGGATGTGTGGATTTAAATTATTATTGTAAAGACATAAAATAATTAATTGAAATGTTTTAAATTTTACGATTACCAAATTTATTCTTTAGTCCGAAAGGGGCTACAACCCTGGACGGAATAGGGTGTTACATCTAAGTATTTGAAGTCCGAGTTAAACATGAATAGAAGAAAAGAAAAAGTTGATTTTTTGACTGCTAGAGTTTTATATAAAAATGTGTTTATATTATTAGTGTAAATTTTTTTATGCAAGGTATATGTTTACGTTATTATATTTTGTACTTATTGTTATAATTGGTACCACTCTTTTGCTGACTGGGTTGACTACATTTTTAGGTACACAGATAGAAACTAACAACCTTACTGAATAATAGCATTGATACTAGAAGGATCAGATGGATGGATCCCAATAGGACTACTACTACTAATAATACATATGAATAAGACATGTTATGACAATATAACATTTTTTATGTTATCAAGTTTTAAGCTTCCGCATGTATAATAATACTCCAATATTATTAGTAGTAATGAATAAAGTTTTTGTGTGATGCTCCAATTATCGTTTCAAAAAGTTAGACTCGTTAACACCGCGAGTTGGATAATCAAATAAATTTGGGTATCCAACTCATGGCGTTACACAGGCACCTAGGAACCTTGATGCATTATGTCTGACATGAAAAAAGGGGATCAGATGGCGTGCCCCGGAAGATTGTTGGATAGTGCAAGATGGAACAAATCAAAAAACTGATAATTGCTAGCGGGGAGGTAACAAATTGTGTAGGTGCCCAAAACAAATATGTGAGGGGTCGACCTTGAGTGGACAATATCATAATAATGTGTGGTTGGATTGAGGATACGCGCAGTCTCAATATGTCGTATTTGAATTCTAGTTCAGAGTGGTAGACTACGACATGTAGAATTCTTGGATTTGAAGGCGGCGGACCTTAGAAGGACTGAAAGAATTCCTTGTGTTGTGGGAAGTAAACAGTGTACCAACAGGACCCTAGGAACCTTGATGCATTATGTCAAAATTAAAGTCTTTCTGATGTGAAAAATAGGGGTCAGATGGCATGCTCCGGAAGATTGTTGCAATAGTGCGAGATGGAAGAAATCAACAAACGAATAATTATTAATTGCGTGATCGTTGGTTTTGAGGATAGGTTCTCACACAACCGAGAAACTGAAGGAATCAAACCAAAATTAATATGTTCAATTCATCTCATTAGTATGCGATCTTTTGTGAGGTATCCAAAAAAAAATCTTGAGATCACAGCTTAATGTAGAGAATATCATACTAATGCGAGATTAGGGTAAAACTACATGCGATCCCAAAATAGATCAATATCTACGTTACTTACCATATTCACACCTATTTATAAACTAGATATCAACAATGGAATTCAAATAATATCCATTTGTAATTGAATTTTGTAGTAATGCCCTATATCTTGAATATTTGTCCAATTTTAATTTTTACACTCAAAATTGATATATTTTAACCATTAATTGAATAAAGTTGATATTCGATATTAATACAGACATTATTTTATTAAATTTATTTTATAAAGTACTTTTATAACATTTTTTTATCTAATTAACACGGAGTATATCGAATATTCCCTCCATCCCTTAAAACTTTTCTCTTTTATATTTTAAATAAATTTAAAGACTGAATTTTTTGTGTTGACTTTCAAAAAATATGTGATAGATAAAAATAGGTTGTGACGAGTAGATTATTAGTGGATAGATATCATGGCATATGTGTGATTAATAAATACAAAAATGGTTCTTTAATTGAAAGTAAAAAAGACTTTAGAAATCACCCTAAATAGGACTAACACATAGAGAAAAGTATCTAAATAGAAATACGACTTTACGTTATGGTAATGTGGCATTGAACATGTGCACATTACTATACTTTTTTTTGGTAATGTACATGACCATGTTTGGTAATGTAAGTCCTATTTCGGGAATAAAAATATGGAAGTCCTATTTTGGTATATTTTCAATGTTTTAGTCTTATTTTAGTTTTTCTCCCAAAAGACTTTTGAACAAAGAAAAAGAGAGAGAAATTTTATTTAAATATAGATCAAAGGTTGAATTTGTTAATCCCTGTGTCCCAGAATTATCTTCATATTTATTTTTTCAATGTCTTCAAAACACTATCTTGACTCTTGAGCATTAGTGTGTTTTTATATATAATTCTATATTATAAAAATATGATATTTATAAAACTTATTTTTTTTATATATTTTATGATTAAAATTAAAAATCTTTGAATAAGAAAAAAAATGGAAAGATAATTTTGGGATAGATGGGACAGAGAGAAAGAATATAAGAAGTCAAGCCTGACCTACGGTAAGGTGGTAGAAGAATCAACCCAGAAGAATCAACCCATGCATCAATGGAAAATACAATCATCTTTAATTAATTCCATTTGAATCCACTCATTGAGCTCCACACCCAATGAATTTTGATGAAGAATGGAAGGAGAAATAGGAGAAACATTACGGCGTACGGAGTATTCCGCGTGTAGCTTAGATTTGATAGAAAAGGCTGCTCCGCCGCCTTGAGGAGCGGACATAAAAAAAAATTACACCGTATTAATTAAGTGCGACCAATGACGCTGCGCATCATATCCTTGAACTCGCGGAAATCGACGCGGCCGTCGTCATTTTGATCGACGGACGAGATCATCTCCTCCACTCTCTCCATCTCCTTCCCTTCTTCCTGCATTCCCAGCTTCGCTAGCACCATCTGCAGTTATGAAATAAGATCGATCGATCAATTTGTGATTTGAATTGATGCTAGAGCTTCAACGCCGTAGCTTTGATTTTTTTACTAGATCTACGATAGAAATTTTATTCGAACAATTTTGAACTGGATCGATCTGCGTTCCTTTAACGCGATATGATGATCTGATGATCACCTGTAACTCCCACGCGGATATGAATCCGTCGCCGTCCTCGTCGAACACATTGAACGCCTCCGCCAGATCGCTCTCCTCCTGCGAACTCGTGGCATCGCCGCCGCACAGATCAGAATCCGACGGCGGTCCGAAGAAGACGTCGTTGAGCGAGCGGTGGAGTGCGTCGAAGTCTTCGAATCGGAGACCGTAATTTCCCGGTTGGATGAAAGACCGGACCGTGGACTCCATCTCGGAGATATCTGTGTGCAGGCCGAGGAGGTTGAGAGCCTCGCTGAGCTCGTCGACGGTGATCATGCTGTCGCTGTTCCGATCGAAGAGGTCGAAGATCCGGCGGAGGCGGACGGAGTTGAGGCTCGGACTGCGCAGCCGGAATGAAGACGCGGTTCCATTGCGGAGGATTGCGTTGGGAGGAGCTTGAGACTCGCCATCCATAGCTAGACGACTGGTGCCGGCCAGAAGATTTATTTTTTAATTTTATGCAGGAAGGCTAAAAAGGACTCGATATATATACATATATTGGGGATTATTTAAAATGTGACTGGTAAACAATTAAGTAGATGAAGATGGGGTCCTGAATTAGTTTGCAGCGCAAGAAAATAAATACTACTCGTTACTCGTAGCTAGGGGTGAGCAAATTAACCGGACCGACCGTTAAACCGAAAACCGAAAGCCGAAGTAACCGCTAAATCGGTTTCGGTTTCGGTTTCGGTTTTCCATGACAAAAAGTTCGGTTATTTCGGGTACTTCGGTTTTGATTATCGGTTTTTTCGGTTAACCGAATAACCGATATATGTGTTTTGTTTGGGTAAATCGAAGTCTACTACTTNAGGAAATTTACAATTTTGCCTGGAGGGGAATTACTCATTTAGTGGTTGAGAAAACAATTTATTTCATTGTTTTAGAACAATAATTGGATTCTGCTGATATTGGAAGTCCCAGTGCTTCTCGTGATGGTTCCGGCCATGGTACATGTTTAACTATTTTTTTATTTTTTGTATGGTTGCTATGGAATTCGGTTTTTAACAACCGACCGAAACCATTCGGTTTATTCGGTTTCGGTTTTCTCGGTTATCCAAATACACCGGTTCGGTTTCGGTCGGTTTTTTGCATCTGAAAAAATTTCGGTTAGTTCGGTTTTGAGCCGAAACCGACCGAACCGACCCGATGCTCACCCCTAGTCGTAGCTGCAACCTCATTCATTAACAGGTCAACTCCAACGTATTTTTATAATTACATAAAAATATTTTTCTTTATTTGGATTTAATTTTGTCATTTGATTTTTTATGTTCTTGAATGTAATATTTTAATGTCATTTGATTTTTATGTTCTTCAACTTCAACGTTTTGTCATTTGATTTTTTGCATAGACATATATATTTGATAAAAATTAAATATTTCAAAATTAAGTTTTCGATGAGATAGAGAGCGTTAGATATTACATTTACATCAAAACACAATATATTTTTTTCGTATATCAAAATAAAGCCTTATGACTTTGTAAATGAAAGTCAGATGAAAAAATTAAATCCGGATGAGTGGTTTATATAGTATATTAATTAGATAAAATAATATTTTGAAAATATTTACAAATAAATCTAAAAGAATTTTTGTTGTAAAAATTTATAATATTAGTTTTATTTACGTGTAAAAAATCAAAACAAAACAAACATGATAGGATGTAATATATATGTATTTGTAAAACAAAATTAAAATAACCAGATATTTTTTAATTATTTAAAAGATTTTGTTAGATTTGGTGACAAAATTATATTTTCGAAAAAATGTGAAAACAAAAAATTTCAAATCTTGTGTCTCTCTTTTTCCTTTTGTTTCCATGCAACAATTGATTTTTCTATTTTAGATCATTTTAGTTTCGGACTCCTTTGTCTTGTGTGTAGAGATGACTGGATGCGGATCAAAGGGAGAGGGATGGAGCATGGATGTGGGGTCCAAAATGATGGAGTTGCCATTCACAATGAGTCAGCCATTGAATTCGTTGATTCAATATATTTCCTCTTTTTTACTACCTCCGTCCCGTGAAACATGAGACATTTGCTTTTTAGGAGGAATTTAAGGGAGTGTATTTTGGTATTGAATTTCCAAAAATGTTCTTTGATGTGATGGGTAAAAGTATGATTTGATGGATAGATTATTAGTAAAAAGGTATGATGTGATAGTTAGAGTATGAAAAAGTAAGGGGTAAAAGTGACTTTTTAATAGAAATGAGAAGTGTTTTGTGGGACGGATAAAAAAAGAAAGGGGAAATGTTTCACGGGACGGAGGTAGTATTTTAATTACAAAATGAGAAAGGATGGAGTTGCCATTCACAATGATCCTTGATTTTTAAAATTATTTTATTTATAATTTAGTATATTAATAAACAAAATAAAAATTACATATAAAAATAAATATAAAATTTATTTATTTTATTCCATCAAATAATCAATGACAACACATAAATAAATAAAATTATCGTAAAGAAAGAAAAAATAAAATTGTAATCAAAATGAAGACAAAGAAATAATACAAAAACACAAGTAGAGCTTTGAATGCTTCTCCATTTCCTTTTTTTGAATGCTTCTCCATTACGTACAATCAACGAAGTATTCAACCAAGCACATTCCGCCTCTACTAATCAATTAAAAGAATTATTCCACCAAATTCAATGCCACCTAGAATCTAGATCTTTTGTTTTGGATTGAAATTTTAGATTTGGATGTTGGAAAAATTGAAAAAGGTTCGAACATGTTGGAAAAATTAAAGTGTTAAAAAGTTACTTAATTAGATAAACACCCAAATAAATATGCAAAAAAATTTAATTTTATGTAAAAAATTATTCTTGTCAGTGTTTGAGGTGATATGTTATAAATATAATTATGAAAAACTGAAGAGGTTGCAAGAAACTGAAAAGAAGTTTAAATAAATTGAAAGAAATTGAAAATATTGAAATACAAAAGAATAGGCTAAGGTTCATTGTTTTCTCTAGCTAGTGTGTAGAGAGTTGGAATTAAAGCACCACAAATCAACAATAGTCAATAGACAATCTTTAAATACTCTCCCCCTCCTTAAATATTTGCCACATTTGTATTCCTGAGGCAAAATATCAAGTTTTTTCAATTCATTTTATTTACATATTGATATAGAAATAAAAAATAAAATTTACATATCAAAAAACTACATGAAAAGTTCTTCGAAATAAGAGGTGTCAAGAATATTTTATTTTATCAAATAACCAATGAAAACGTAGAAATAAACAAAAGTTCCCGCGACTTCTGAAAAAGCTAATGTTGCAAATATTTTGGGACAAAGGGAGTATAAAATTTGAGAGTTAGGCTTCTAGAATTGTGACATCTGGTGCACTTATTGGGCAATTTTTTTGATATGTCAGCATGTCATGTCATCAAGTTATATTTAAAGGATTAGTTAACAAAAAAAGTTATTCTATGAAAATTAAATTTCGTGTGTGTGTGTGTGTATCATTATTTATTATGATTTCATTATTCAATTTTGTTATTCCAAAAGTATAATATTTATTTTCCCATTTTTAGTTTTTTCAATATTTTCCAATCATTTCTAGTTTTTTCCAACCTCATTCCAGTTTTTTAGATTTTTTCTAATTTTTCCCGTTTCTTCTAGTTATTCTAGTTTTCTCCTAATTATTTTAAAAACTAACTTCTTTCAACCCTAGAGAATAGACGCTAAATGTAAAGTATTATTGCGCTGCATATTGCTGCTAATCCTCTCTTGCATGAGTGAACAAAATACTTTGAAATTGATTATCATTTTGTCCAAATCAAGGTTTTGTGAGGAATTATTCACTCCCACACATCAATTAACAAGTATGCATAGAATCCAAAACGAGCTTTTGCGAGGCCATTTCTTGCTTACATGCTCTAACTTGAAGAAAAGTATTAAAGAAACAATTAAAAAAAATAATAAATTGATATTATCTGATTTGTTATATTTTGTATATCCTATGTTATTTTATTTCCTTGTATAATTGGTTTTCCAATGCATTTTTTAGAGTTCTCAGATTATTGGATTTCTAATCCTATATATTAACAACCTTGTGTTATGTAAATTGATTCAATAAAACAAGAGAATTTCCCTAAAATATTACCCTAACAGCCACAATTTTGAATATCTAAAAAGTTATGTAAAAACTGATCATAAAGGTAAAATGACAACCTTCACTTACTAAATACGGAGTATAATTCATAAGGATTTTGACATTTAAATATGTAACTTATTGCAAGTTGAGAATTGCTATATCCACATTACTTATAATTAAATATATACTTCATTTATGTTAAATATACAAAATTGTTATTGATAACGATTGTCCGAGTCATAATAAGAGATCTTTTTTATTTTATTGAACGGAAATAGAACCTTTAAAATTAGACCCATTGAGATACAACATATTTCTTTAATAATCACACCAAGCCTGAAAGATTGGCGGTGAATTTCACATCAAACAAGATTAAAAAACATTTCAAAATTAAACATGACCTGTAAGATTTAAAGCTTGTTAAACTAACAATATAGGCCAAAACTTGTCGATCGCATTCTTACCTGGTCGACTAATTCCTGGTTACATCCTTCTTGTAGCGGAGTTTGGGCAGTTTCTTCATTAGAAGCGTTCGGGTAAAACATGTTGCGTATTCCTAAAGCTTGACATGTCTAAAGCTAGCTTACGATCGAATCGAATGGGACTTTATTAAACCTATGATGTTTTGGTTAGGCTCAGTCGGTAGATTGAACTTATCGTGTTGTGTGTTACCACTGCTCATTAATGGCTCATTGTCGGATGTTATTGTGCCTTCTCATGGTCTGAGGCAAGAAGCTTTTATCAAAAAGGGGGTAAAGAGATTTTATTGAAGACAATGAAAACCTCCTTTTGAAAACATTCATGGCTTCTAATTCAGCAAACCCCTGGATCTCATCTCCTATTATGAGTGAGAGAGCAAACCTGAGTGACGCAAATTTGTTACTATCAGGAGGACGTCATGGAACATATCCTTACTGATAGAGTTATTTCTGCCCAGAGATATCTGAAAAATTCTTCGTGTTCTGATAAATGTCAATTATATATACGTGTGGTATTGGAAAGGTGATCCCCGAGGCAATTACATAGTAAAAGCTGGGTATCACTATCTCATTGGAGAAGCAGCCAATGCCACATCTTTTTCTAATTAGGAAAGGATTTGAAAGACGTTGCTCCAAAGGTGCGTGTGTTTCTTTGGCGTTCATTGCGAGGTATTTTTCCTACTGCCAATGCTCTTATTTCCAGGGGCGTGGAAGTGGATAATTTATGTCCTTTGTGCGGTTGTTTGGGAGAATCAATCGACCGTGTTTTTCTGTGTGTGTTTTCGAAGACGGTGTGGTCTGTGTCTGGAAAAGACCCAAGTCATAGAGATCTACTTTGTTTGTTTCTTGGTTTCAAGGTCTTTCTATTGTTTTATCCCTTTCAGAGTTACAATATATTGCATGGATTTTGTGGGCCATTTGGAAAGCAAGGAATATTGCGTTTTGGGAACATAAAGTTGTACTTCCACACATGACTTGTAGGATGGCTCAAGTCCATAAGGCAATGGCTTCTGAAGGGGTAGCACCCACTCGAGACCACCAGTCGGCTCCTAGCAGGTCAGATTTTTCTTTATTTTGTCATTTTGATGCTACTCTTTTCCCTTGAAAGGATTTGATCGGCTTTGGTTGTGTCCTTTCGAAAGACGGTTCTTTTCTAGCAACAGTAAATGGGAGATTAAAGTGTGTGCAGAACCCTTTTGGCTAAGGAAATGGCATGTAGGGAGGCATTCTCATTGCTCAAACGCAAGGGAATTAGAGAGGTACAAATTAGATCAGATTGTTTTCAACTTGTGGAAATTCTTCAAAAAGGAGATTATGCTTCTTGTCATTCTTATGTTGGCTCAGCCATTGAGGAGTGTGTTTCTCTTTTATCTTTTTTTGAGTCTATTGACATTAATTGTTGTAGGATTCTCAAAATATGGTTGCTCATACTTTAACGAGACATTCTATTGTTCAAATGGATAAGTGGAAAGGTTCACCTCCTAATTTTGTCGTGAATCTATTATAATTTAATGAAGTCTTTCTTTAAAAAAAAGCTTACAATATTGACCAAAACTTTATTTAAAGCCCAAACTAAATGGAACTAGATCTTAAACATCAAAATAACTCATGTTTCAAGAAAGACCATGTTCTTATTTCTCACTTGTGGATAAATATTACTTCCTCTGTCCCAATTTATAGTGTATATTCACTATTCACAAGGTCAACTTCATCTACTTTCTTTCTCTATTTTTGTTAGCAATTTGATAAAATAAAATACTATTATCACTACTAGTTTTGTAAATCTTTTGATATAGTATTTTAATATGTAATTTTTATTTTTTAATTCTATATCATTTGTCATATAAAATGATTTTAAAATAATTTCAATTAAATATCATAAACCGAAACAGACACTATAAATTGGGACGAAGAGACTACTACTATAAGAAATACATGAAAAGAAATTCCAAAGACTTTTTTTCAAGTGTTTTAAACAAAGTCCAACAAGAAGCAACACGAAGTACCTTGAGAAAAAACAAAATCTCATGCACTTATAAGTCAACGAAGAGTTGTAATTATAGTTTTGATAATATTATAGAGCCTATATAAGAGCAATCATCATGAAACACTCATTGATCACATCATGTGAAACGAGTTGACATTGAAATTTTGGAGAAAGTAATATTAGGAATACATTCAAAATAAAGCGTCAAGGCAAATCAATAGTATAGCTTACTTCGGAAATGGAAACACTTGCTAGACTTACTACAAACCAAACAGGAAAGGTCAAATGAAAGAAGATTGTATTCACCAAGATGATGACATCCTTTTGGTTACACACAGAATGGGGAGCTTCAGAACTGCGACTTGTCCAAACTGTCAAAGTAGGGATGATCAAGAGCAGCCTTCGCTGAAATGCGATCAGCTGGATCGTATTTCAGCATTTTCTGCAATTGTTATTGATACGTATGCTCTCACCGTTAACCGTCACAAGAGGATCAAATATTTCAATGTGAAGGGAAGAGAGATTACCGATAGAAGATCAACACCGTCCGGGCACAAAGCTGGAACGGCACGAGCCAAGACTTGAGGTTCCCATTGTGGGTAGACGTGCCAATCCTTAAGAGAGCTCACTCCAGGCCATTGCTTCTCTGTTGGTGTTCCTAGCATCCTTCAAATGTAGATACACACCCCAACAGAAAAACGTCATTGCACAATACAACTTGTTTGGTTTTCATTGCAAGCAAACGGTGCACGAAGGCAACATTGGTAAACCGCAATGTGACATGATGTAATGTTATCAAATGCTCTGTTGCTAACATTGTCACGATATATGTTTTCAAAACATCAACTTTGTATTGTAATTAAATGTATTATTCCTTGGTCAGCAAAGTACTATGTTGAAAAATGAAAGAGTACAAGTCAAACTGTCACGACAAAAAAAATCAAGTTCATTATGTAATTACATTACAATCCAACCCAGTACAGTGTTGGGTATCTCTCCAATTACCAAATATTAATTACATTGGAGTTTATTTCATTTTAGTAATTGAAAAAAGGGGGGGCAAGAGTAGTGAAAGTTGGCAAGTGGCACATCACATCTGAAATGAGTGAGGCAGCATGGGGATGAATACATGATAGAGATATGGGACATTTGAAAGAAGCCAAACAAAACAATAATCCGTAATAATCATGGCAAGTGGCTTCTTTTATGGATATTAAGGCAGTGACCTATTAATAATAAAAGGTGGTATACTCCTTTGGCAAATAGCTTCTTTCATGGATATTAAGGCAGTGGCCTGTTAATTATATAAGGTAGTATACTCCTTTTGCAGTAGGCAGTAGCAGTAGTTTGAGAGTGAGTTTTTCTGAGAAGAGAATATGAATTGTTGTGCAAGTGTTGCGTTGGTTGTACTTCAATTGATATTATAGGAAAAGTGTAATCCAAAAGGATCTAGATTTTTCCCTAATTGAGAGGGGCTTCCACTTAAAATATTGTGTGTTGATCTTTTATTTCTTCTGCATATTTTTTCTCCAATGTTTTATTTTTGAGAGTCTATTGTTGTTCAGTAATTTCTCTCAACATACAGATTGCTAATCATTACCTGAAGAGGTAATAATGGAAAAAGGATTATCACGAAGCTGCTAAGAAATTGTGTTTCAAAAGATGCAATAACATGAAGATAAACAAAGGAACCATAACAAAACCTGAATATGTGAAGCAGTTGCTGAAATTCAGAATCCCCAGGGAACAATGCTTGCCTCCTTGCCATTTCAGCTGCAGCAAGCAAGAGATGATGAATTGAATGATAAGACAACATTTGTAATCTTTCAATAATATGAATCTCCCAGATTGGGACAATCTCAAATAAAAACTAAGCAATCAAATCATGAGGGAATCAAAGTTTCAACAATTCTTCTGTGATCAATCAATGGAAATGCATATTAAAAAAGGGAATGAATGCACTTGAATGTCATCTTAAGTCAGAATTCACAAGTCAGCATCAATTGATCAGAGCATTAGAACTCAAATTGAACGATCAAACACTAGAAATGCTCTGATAAATCTAACGTTTCGACCAGTTTATGTACCGAGTACTAGAGAAAGATTATAAACTAGTGTTATGCTTACCGAAAATACAACCAACAGACCACATATCAACAGCAGTTGAGTAATGAGTGGATCCCAAGAGCACTTCTGGGGCTCTGTACCATAAAGTCACAATCTGACATCGAAAAACGAAGCAACTATAAGATATCAACCAGATCCGGAGACTATTACTAAGCAATCAGATCAGAAAAAACAGCAAACCTCGTGAGTGTAGCTCTTGAGGGGCACTGTGAATGCCCTACCAAGGCCAAGATCGGCAATCTTGAGTATTCCCTTCTCCTTGTCAACCAAAAGGTTCTGGGGCTTAAGATCTCTGAAAAGAACAAATGATGAATAAAAAAACCGTTCAAGTTTCAAGACGAAGTGATGAAATCGTATTGTTGGAGGATCGAATTGGATCAAATAATACCTATGAAGAACACCATGGCTGTGGCAGTGGGCGACACCCTTGCACAACTGGTAGAGGAAGCTCTGGATGAGGGAAGGAGGAAGGGGCCTGGGATTGGGGCCTTTGCGATGGGAATCGATGTACTTTTTGAGATCAGTGTCCAGATACTCGAAAACTAGGTAGAGGAGAGGCTTGCCGTTCTTGTCGACATGCTCGACGCAGAGGAGGCGGACAACGTAGAGAGAGTGGGAGAGCATCTGGAGAAGGGAAACCTCCCGGAGAGCGGTGGGCGGGATGCCTTCTTCGTCCATCTCCAGCCGCGTCTTCTTCAGAGCCACCAGCTGTCCCGTCGCCTTGTCCTTCGCCTTGTACACCTTCCCGTATGTTCCTTCGCCGACCTTCTCCAGCTTCTCGTACTTCTCCATTTCTCTCTGATTTCTCGATCTTCTCCTTCTTCTTCCCCTCTCTCTCTCTCTCTCGCTCTCGATTTCTCGATCTTCTCCTTCTTCTTCCTCTCTCTCTCTCTCTTAAGAAGGGGATTTCCGATCGATCTTCCTCCTCCGGTGGCGAATTTTGAATCGAAATTTCGAGGGTTTTGGACATGGGAGTTTGGGTTATGGATTGGCACGTGCTTCCCTCTTTTTTTTTCTTTTATGTTTTTTGAAATTTGAATTCCGGACTAACGTGCTTGGTCTAAACGGTTACTCCCTAATGAACGTTTTTTTGTGCAAACTCTTGCGTTTATGCTCTATCTCCCTATTGTTGTGAAAAGAAAATCTCTTATTTGACCATAAGAATTTATATCCTACTTGATAAGAATTGAACTCTACTAAGTAGAGATGTTATGAGATTCATTTAGGGGCTGTTTGGCAATTGCTGAACCAGTAAGAACTGAATCAGTAAAAGGTCTGAATGGGTAAGAGACTCTAAACCAGTAAGTGCTGAATCATTTTTCCTATTTTCTGAACCAGTAGGCTCTTTTGGAAATGAGGAAAAATGACTTCTTTTCCTATTTTCTTGTGTTTGGCACGTTTGAAAAATGGAGTCAAACGAAATTGAACTTCGGGTCAAATGGAAGATCAATGCAAAAATCCAGAATTTGACTTCAATTTTAAAAGTTCGAAAATCATTTTCGGCCGCTGCATCGATCTGCTCCACCTCACCATTCTCTCTTTGTACCACTCTCTCCTTTGCCTCTTCACTTCCATCTTGTTTATTCTTCTTCTCTTTCTCCTTCTTCTACATCGCCCTTTTTCTTCTTCTCCATCGCCCTTCTTTTTTCCTTCTCCATCCCTCTTCTTTTTCTTCTCATCCATCACCATCCAGATCGCCACCTTCTAGATCGCCATCCACCACCCCCACATTGTCGTGCGCCCCCGTCCCAATCATCTCCACCACCCCAATCACCGCCTCCATCTCACTAATCAGCCTCCATCTGAGGTAAATTGTGTCACTACCATCCCCGTGTGCAAGGTGTTTGATAAAAAGCTTGAAAGACAATTTGATTTACTACATATTCATTTTCCAGAATTGAGACAAACGAAAATAGATACTTTTCACATTTTAGCCAAACACCAGAAAAGAAAAATAACTTCAAGAAAATAACTCATTTTCCAGAAGTCATTTTCTAGAATTTATTTTCCAGATCTCTAAACATACCATTAAATAAATTTTTATAAACTGATTAAGATATAATCCGTCGTCCCTGAATTATCTTCCTATTTGTTTTTTCTTGGTCTGTTGGAATATTGAAATAATAATATTGCTACTTTAATTATGAAGTACATGATAGAGTATATATAGGAGAGACTCCTAACACAACTAGGAATATAGAATAGAAACTAACTAACATACAACATCTACCACAAATAGGATTAGGAAGCTGACTAATAATGAAACACTACCACAACCAATACTACCACAAGTAATACTATTATTATTGTCTAACATCCCCCCTCAAGCTGAACTCTGGCTGAAGCAAGAGGAAGCTTGGACACTAGCTGGAAACTGGAAACTTTGAGAAGAGATAAGTCTGACATGCGCCGGTGGCTGCTGACGTCGTTGAAGAAGAGAGAAGCCTGACGTGCACCGCTGGCTGCTGATGTCGTTGGAAAAGAGAGAAGTCTGACGTGCACTGGTAGCTGCTAACGTCGTTGGAGAAGAGAGAAATTGACGTGCGCTAGTAGCTGCTGACGTCAATGAAGAAGAGAGAAGGTTGACGTGCGCTTGTAGCTGCTGACGTCGAAGAAGAATAGAGAAAGCTACTTGAGGTGCCTGTTTGACTGAAGATCCTTGACATTTTTTGTCTTTTTCTTGGATCCGGGCAATGCCCTATTTCCTTTTTAAAGGGGTGAGTTGTAGAGGTTTTATTTCCTCTTTCACTACTTCCCCTCTTAGCTTTGCTTTTTTTGCTGATTTACTTTGGATTTTTATTGGTTCAACAGAAGAGAAAGAGAAGAGAGGTTGATGATTATAATGAGTGATTTGAGAGAGAAAAAAGTAGGTTAAGAATTGGAGATGGAAAAAAAAAAATTGGGTATGAGATTTTGATATGGTGAATTGGAGAGAAACAACAATCATTTTTTTCCTTTTTTTGAGAAGATAGGATGATATGAGAGAATTTGTGAGGAGTTGGGGGTTTTTTTTTAAGAACCATGAAAATGACAAGAGAGAAGTTCCTCCTGTGATAGTTTTTTTGTGTGTGATTTCAACAAGGGTTTTTTTTCTTTTTTTTTTCCATTTGAATGGAGAAGTTGATTTGAGGATAAAGAAGAAAAAGAAAATAGAGGTGAATAGGGTGGAGCCGCCATCGCCGGAATTACTGGCGACGGCGGTGGGAGCAAAGAACTTTTTTTTTTAGGTCACCAAGAGCGATGACTCTGATACCATGTTGAAATATTAGAATAATAATATTGCTCTGATCAATAGTTTCTAACTTTGACCATGAGTTCTTGCCACAACATTGGATATGTACCAAAAACCATGCCCAAGTTGCATAGGTGGGGATGGAAAAGAGCCATTACATTGGTTATGCAAGGTACATAAATATTTTGACTTTTATGCGCTTGCGTTGTGTTGCATTGATGCTTGAAGGTTCTACTGCTAATTCATTCTGTTGGCACTCAAGCAACCAGGGCCTACTCGATGGTTGGGACAATTTTGACAAGTAGTATAAAAATTGATTTGCTTCGTGTAACACAAAAAACCAATCAGGTCTGCAACCCCTTTCGAATCAAGTTGTTATCTCAGAAAAATACTTAAACAATTGTAGGAGTAAAAACCATGTATTGAAATTTGAGTTTAAACGGTAAATATTTTAGAAACATTATACCAAAGTTTGCAAAAGTAACCAAAACCTATGCATTGTTAAAAGTAGTTCGCGCATCGATCTCATCTATCCTCGGTATCTCGCTCGGCTCCAAACACTACGCATAGTTAAACTACAAATTCATACGCTCAATAAATAGCTGAGTGACAAAATACAATAAAACAGAAACTCTTACAGCAAAACAATATAGCTTTGACACCACCATTTGGAAATTAAATCTCTTGTACACTGCTACAATATATGGCTTTTTGCAACACCCATAAAGCTAAGTTTTACGCTAGATAAGAAATGCTAAGAACACAACTTTAATTCATTTGTCCTCTGACAATAGATATCATAGATTATACAATGCTACATCATACCATCTTATACATATTCACACATGCATGCCAGATCAACCATTTCCAGTAAAGGTCATGTATTATACCTTTCTCATATGAGTAGATCAAGAGTAGTATAATTCTTGATATTCTCTTATGGTACGTTTGGGAACATGGATTTGGATTTCAAATCCGGATTTGACTTAAATTCCATGTTTGGGAAATCTAAGCATTTTGAATTTGGATTTGAGTCAAATTCTTTACATTCAAAACAATGCTTAATTTGAAATCCATGCACCTCCCCTTGTCATTTGAAATTCAAGATTTCAAATTTTGGAATTGAAATGCATGAATTGAAATGAAATGCTAATTGCCAAACACTACCTTAAGTAATTACACCTGAATTTGTTTTCTTGATGCTCGTNAGTAGATCAAGAGTAGTATAATTCTTGATATTCTCTTATGGTACGTTTGGGAACATGGATTTGGATTTCAAATCCGGATTTGACTTAAATTCCATGTTTGGGAAATCTAAGCATTTTGAATTTGGATTTGAGTCAAATTCTTTACATTCAAAACAATGCTTAATTTGAAATCCATGCACCTCCCCTTGTCATTTGAAATTCAAGATTTCAAATTTTGGAATTGAAATGCATGAATTGAAATGAAATGCTAATTGCCAAACACTACCTTAAGTAATTACACCTGAATTTGTTTTCTTGATGCTCGTTTGATCCACATCATGAAGCCAATAATCTCCCAAGCAAAGTAGAACCGAATCCTGGAATTTTATAGAAAGTTTTGACAGCACTTTACTAAGAACATCTATCCACATCATTTTTTTCTGAGTTTCGAGATCCTTTCGCATTTCCGCGAGTTCAACTCTCTTTTTCGTTGTCGCATTCAATTTCTTTGCGAACATCCTACATTGATTTTATTCTTTGGAGCTCCAAGTCAACTTGTATATCTTCATCCACACAAATTTTAATTGCTTCATTATTTCCAATGAATTGCATATGAACTTTCATTATCTTTCACCTTGTTCAAACTTTTTTCGGTAACACTCTTTCCATAAAAATAATATAGTCATGACACCACTTTTTTGTAGAATTCTTTATATAATTTTTTACTATATAAATTTTACTTATTGTATTTAACTTTACACGTACGTTTAAATAAATTGAATTGAAAATAAAATCGACCAAACCTTGCAAGGCACAGAAAGAAAATATTTCTCGGATAGAGGAAGTACTATTTGAGCAAGCTAAGTTCCTTTTAAATCTTATCACCAATCTCCAATCAAAAGTTCAAACCTTTGATTGGGTTGATTTCTTCAATATAAAATCAAAATTTTATTATTCTAGAAGTCACAAGTTTGAAATTTGAACTATCTATTGAATTAGTTACTAGCTACTTATATCCCAAGTCAAAAGCTAGAGTTGACTTTGCGGATATTAAGGTAAAGGTTAGCATGTTGTGGACTTTCTCATTTTCGCCCCTGATATGACATATCATTGAAATAGTAGAGAGTTGGTAAAAATGATTGAAAGAGATAGTAGTAGATGAGTTGAAGCAAGAGGTAGAGCTGGTAATAGTAATTGAAATGATAGAAAAATTAATGGAATAGATAAGAAAAGTGTGAAAAAGTAAGAATATTATTAAAAATATTTTTAGTGTTGGCCATGCCAAATTAGGAAGCGTGTATTTTGATTTCTAACACCTCATTTAAAACATGTGTCTTTTAATTAATTTGACTTGGGACGAAGAGAGTACTTAAGAGAGGAGAGAGACAAATAATTAAACATTGTTAATTAAATGGTTGACAAGACATGTATGGAGGGAATGCATGACATTTTACCAACAAGTTAAGATATGTTCTAATCCACTTTAATTATTACCACGTTTGGATGGAATCTTTTATCTATGTCATAAGCTCAAATCATTCGATAATATTCGCATATATATAGGGGAGGAGGGGGCCATTATATCCCAAACCCCACACCACTTGCATTGTTGCATTGCATCCATCCAAACCTTTCCTAATTATTCCTCTTCATAATGCACTTCCCCCTTTCCATTTTATGCACCACCCAAACCTTATTCTTCATTCCATTATAATCTCTCTCTCTCTCTCTCATCTTTCCCCTTTCTATTCTTGTAAACAAATCTAAGCTATGACCCAAACATGTCACAAACCCCCCAAGGTCCTAACTACCCTTCAGCTCTTTTTATTGTTATTGTTCCTGCAACTTCTCTTCCTCCTCCACTCCAGTGTGGGTCTTGAAGGTGAGCTTTATTTTACCTCAAAGTATTCAAAAGAGAATGATGGGTTAATAAGATCTTAGTTTTTTTTTTAGAATAAATTGTATAAATAATCTTTTATAATAGGGAATTCTCCATATATAGTCCATATTATGTTTGTGTTTTTCGATATAAAAGAACTATTCGACAAACAGTCTAGGAAAGATTATTTGAAAATTTCTTCCCCAAAAATACGGATCCCTGAATAGTTCTGATATATAAAGGTTCACGAACATAATATATATCGATTATATGTATATATAATAAAAACACTATGTTATATAGATCAAGGAATTATTTATGGAATTTACTCTTTTTGTTATATCGCAACTGACATGCATGATCTAGCTTGTGGGAAAAATGTGGCAGGAGTGGCGGCGGGGAAACGGCTAGTGCCGATGAAGACGGAGCGGGAGTTCAGAGCGGGTGTAGATTTAATAACAGGCGGAGGCGGCGGGAGGCGGAGGTTGGATCCGTTCCAGCTGTGTTCGGAGTGCAAGTGTTGTGAGGCGCCGGAAGACACAGGCAACTGCACTACGACGTCGTGCTGCTTCGGCATAGATTGCCAGCTTCCAAACAAGCCCTTCGGGGTCTGCGCTTTTGTCCCCCAGTCTTGCAACTGCACTTCCTGCAATGTTATTTAGCTAGCTAGCTATAGGCTTGGCCACCATATGTTCATGCACACATACATGCACATCCATGTTTAATTAATTCACTCTCTTCAGAGTGCATATATATAATATTATGGGGAATTCATCATATTTATATTTCTACTTAGACTCTGTTTGGTAGCAAAACAAATGTGGATTTGGAATTGGTAGTGCCAAAAATGATTTGAAATTGGAAAATTCAATTACATCCAAATCAATTCCATAAAATTTCAATTCCTAATTCAATTTCAATTTCATCAATTCCGTATACCAAACAGACCCTTATTGTTATTATTGGATTTGGGTTAGGGGTAAGAACCACTTTGGACCCTAACGAAACATAGTATGAGTCGGTGTCATTATTATGACATCCAAAGTTAGTGTCAAAGAAGTCGATCGCAAGGTATAAAAAGGGTTAATTGCTTTCTTTGTGAACCGTCAACTAGTGACGATTCCCAAGAAAACTTCAGTTAGATCGGGTAATCGAGTCAACCAATTCAGTCCTGGTTAGAATTTAATTAGTTTGAATCTATTTTTAATACTATGTATATGTTATAACTAGTTCAGTTCCCTTTGGTTCTCAACAATTTTGGTTCAATTATAATTTTAGATATAGTCCATTCGTGTAGATATTAGTTCGAGTATACAACGGTTCAATTTGTGTATAATTAGGTTCAGTTCATGTACAATTAGGTTTATGTAGATTTTGATTTGGATAACTGTTACTTCACACATCATATTCCCTTTTAAATACAGTCTGATTCCGTCGCCACTGGACACTGGCTTTTTGGAGTGCTTATGAGATTACAATGCTGTATTCGCAAAATTAATTACTCTAAGAGCACTGGTAATGGGCGTAACGCCCGGTGCGTTATTACCTCTTTTAACGCCAAAGGGGCAGCAAACACCGCCCCCTTGGGGCTTCAAAGGGGCTTCATTTCTTCTACTTCAAAAGTTTAACGGGCTTCAAAGCCCCCCCCCCACTTTCTCTTTAAAAAAAATACACAAACATAATTTTTTTACTCTATATTTTATTGTTTAATGAAATATTTTTTTGTTTAAATTTTTTTAGTAAATGTAATTTTTTTTTGTTTTTTTATTAAATTTAACATACTTTTTTTATTGACTGTATTTTTTATTTAATGAATTATTTCAGTTTGCAATATATTACTACAACTCGAATTTGAATGAAGATATTTTTAGTCGCTCGAATAATTAGTAATTTCTTTGTAGTGTTGTTTTTTATGGATGTAATATTTTTTTTAATGAATGTAATTTTTTTAATTATTCTTGTTTCAATATAATTAAATAATAAAGTAATTAAATTTATTAATTTAAATTTAGAAAATGTATATTTAAAAATGTAAAAAATGAAGGTTTGAAGCCCAGTTTGAAGCCCCAGGGCTTCAAACCCATTTCCAGTGAATTTTTGGTGTAAGTTAAAGCTGACGTGGCAGAGAGAGAGAGTTTGAAGCCCCGGGGCTTCATACGTATTTCCAGTGCTCTAAGCCTTCCCTCACCCCTCCAAATGTGTGATCATTACACTGTGTGATCATTAAACTTTTGGAGGGGCAAGGGGAAGGATTAAGGGGTAAGGGTGGGGATGGGTTACAGGTTTATGAGGAGTAAAAATCATCAATTTTGACAACGTGATACCGTATGTGCTCCAAAAAAATTGTGGCACCGCCAGTTGCACCATTGCCTAATGACAACAGAATCAGGTTTTAAAAAATACTTCGTAATTAAATGGTTCATAACGTCTCTCTATCGCTTCAAAAATCACAATCACAAAATTTCATTTTTAAAACTAATACTCCCTCCCTCTCAAAAATAGTACTTTACACTTTTCTTTTTTGAATGTCCCAAAAAGACTTCACAATTTATTTCTTATTTTGGTAATGAATATGTGGCTTAAAATATTTTTCACAAATCTAAACAAATTCTAAACAACTTCTTTAACTCCATGAATGTCAAACCATAAGGTTTTTTCATGAGTTAGAGAATAGTTTATCATAATAGTGCTTTTGATCCGAGGAATTTTAACCTTAGAATGACCCAAGGCCTCTACGGTGCTTCGTTCATAAAATTGATAGTTCCTACCCTCCCTAACCCCCCTAAACTCCCCTGCACCCCACCCTTGCCCCCCCCACCCCTAGATCGGCGATCTAGGAGAGGGGGCAGAGGAGGTTTAGGGGAAGTTAGAAGGGTGGGAACCATTAAATTTATGAATGGAGTACCATAGGTGTCCCAAAATGCCAAGGTCATTTAAGGTCACTCGAGGCCAATGTCAAAAGATCCTAGCCTATAATTTATTACTAATGAGTCATAATCCGATTTCGGGTGTGATCTAATAATCTCTTTTTGCTAAACCAAAGCAAGCTATGAATCATACATGTCTCAAACTTACATGCCAGAGATCCAAGCCTTGTGCTATTAATCCCTACTTCTCTTCCTTTTCCACCTCGTTATGGGTGGAGGTGAGCTTTGATTTCCTTGACAAGAAACAGACAAAGAGTTTTGCAAATGGGAGGAAAACATTAGAGGAAAATGAATGCTTCGCAATAGATATGAGTACGCAATGTGTAGGAAAGGATCTATGAAAAAGACATTATTAGGAAATGTAGGAGAATAGTAATACAGAGATTATATTCAGGACCGAGTTCTGAGATCCTTTTACATTCGAATACGGAGGGTAGTTTCGGGTTAAAAGAAGCGATACACGCGTTTTGCTGCTTCAAGTGTGTTGAGGAGCAGCATTGCAACTGTCATGGGACCGACCCCTCCCGGTACAGGGGTTATTGCAGAAGCTACTCTCACTGCCTCTTCAAAGCAAACATCACCAACCAGCCTGTAACCATTCTCATTCTCTTCATCCTAATACACCAATTTGCATACACATACATACAAACACAATGTTTCTCATTATTTACTTCGTATTGCAGATGAATATATATAATCAAAGTCAAAAACCCATAGACTCAAAGCAATTTTCTTTCAAATACTCCGCAATGAACTTAGAGATTAACTAATGTTAGGCATATATGGATGGGGCTTTTAAGTATCAATCTATACCTCTATTGGAGTAGTGCCAACATCGACAACAACTGCACCGGGCTTTATCCAGCTTCCCCGAACTAAATTAGGTACCCCTGCTGCAGCAATCAAAATGTCAGCTTCCCGGGCAACAACTTCTGGGTCCTTTGAAAACGCATGCACACTGGTAACTGTTGCATGGTGCCTCTGCCAAACAGTTATTATGTAGGGTATGTTTCAATCTCAGAAAATGCTAAAGCTTTTTATATATTTGGTTTTACGTTGAAAATAAGGAAAAAGAAACATGATTAATTGATTAATCTATTCTTTTTTTTTTAATTTATAATTTTTTTATCTTAATACTCCATCCGTCCCTCAGTATTCGTCCAACATTCCTTTTTGGGCCGTCCCAAAATATTTGTCCACTTTCCTTTAATGGAAACTAAAAGAGCATGAAAAGTCTATTTTACCCTTATTCACATGCCTTTCCATCACCCAATTTTCTTTCTTCTTCTTCTTTCGTATCTCTCCCTCTTATCCTAGCTTTCTTTTCAATCTTTTTCCTCCAATTTTTCTTTTCTTTCTATATCCTTTAACTCCTCCAATCTTCTTTTTACAATTTTTTTCTCTCCCCCTCCCAATTTTCTTATTCTTCTTCCGAAAACTTCTCTCTCCCCCCTCCCAATCTTCTTCTTCTTTAGATTTCTTTTCTCTCTCATCCTCCCAATCTTCTTCCCTGATTCTTCTCTACTACAATTCTTCTTCTTCTTTCACTCTCTCATCCTCAGTCTTCTTTTGTGATTTCTTCCACAGATCCGAGCAATGGGTTCTTCGACAGTCTTCTTCTTAGATCCTATATCACCTGGTCTGGATTTTTTTCTTCTAGAGAGTTTTCTCTCTCTAGCCATGGCAGGGAGAGGACGACCAAAGAAGAAACAACAACCTGCTAATCCGAAACAGCGAAATGAATCGGATAAGCCTGAATCATCGATTTCCCACACTAGGGATGAGATTGAGCAAGAGGCACCTATAACGTCAAATGCGATTCAGCGTGACCTAGAAGAAGCAATTGAACAGACGTTACCAGATGGGATTCATATGGAAGAAGGGCCAGAGGTGAAATTGGACGCTGAGCCTATATCCTATGCTGAGGCTGTGGGTAAGGTTGATTGTAAGCTCACCTACATTGAAGCAGAAGAGATGAACGGGAATAGGTATGCTCGAATAACTGAAGATGATATTGTAACCTCTGCGACATACTGGGATTCAGCAGCAGTGGTATGTATTTTGGGAGCGAATCCACCTTTATCTATTGCTGAGGGTTTTATTCGAAGGATCTGGAAGGCTTTTTCAATTGATGAGATTAAATTTTCTAAACCTGGACAATATGTTGTGCGTTTCCACTCTGAAGATAAAAGGGATGAAGCAATCAGTAGGACTTACTACCAGTTTGACAATAAGCCAGTTTATGTTCGTAAATGGAAACCTGGGTGCACAATTGACTTGAATGCTCTCAATGATATCCCTATATGGGTACAACTCCCAGATCTAGAATTGAAATACTGGAGCTTGTCAGGACTGAGTAAAATAGGGAGCCTATTGGGGAAACCCATTAGAACAGATAATGCTACTGCAACAAAGACTAAAATGGAGTATGCAAGGCTGCAAGTAGCAGTAGCTATGAATCAACAATTTCCGGATAGGGTACTGTTTGCTGATGAGAACAAAAGACTCATTACTCAAAAGATTAAGTACGAGTGGTGTCCAGTCACCTGCACCCATTGCAAAGGGAAAGGACATACTCAAGCTACGTGTAGGCGGAAAGAGGGACAAAGTAAACAGAGATTAACTTGGAAGCCTAAAAACACACAGAAGGATCAAGAGGAGATGAAAATGACAAAAGAAAAGGAGGAGGTAGTGGAGGTAATACAGGTGCCTCCTATCACTGGAAGTGGCAGTCAAGGGGAATCATCCTCAAATAGACAAAGGGGTGGTCAGGGGGAGTCATTTGCAGTGAGACAAGAAGGAGATAAGGGGGAATCAACCTCAAAAAGACAAGGGGGGTATCACTCTGATGGGTTTGTAGAAGTCAAAGGGAAGAAGGCATTTAAAGGTATTATGACAGTGGCTAATGATAAGGTGAGGTATCATGACACACTGTTGCATAAGGAATTATTTGAAACCCCATATAAGGGGCACCTGCCTTTCCTGCTATGATTGGTGGATGGAATGTTAGAGGACTGAACAGTCCTAATAAACAAGCTACAGTGAAAAGCTTAATAAATAAGTATGATATAGGTCTTATGGGGCTTATGGAAACAAAAATAAAGAATCCTAATTATAAGGAGGTAGAGAATAATCTATTTAAAGGGTGGGGAACCTACATCAATAATGACAAGCATCCAAATGGGAGAATATGGGTCGTTTGGAAAAGGCAGAGATATGAAGTTAGTATATCTGATTCAACAGATCAGACAGTGCACTGCAGGGTATTGCGCAGGGACAGTAATGAGGAGTTATATATAACGTTTGTATATGGCCATAATGACCTTAACAACAGGAAAGAGATGTGGGACTCCCTTAGGAGAAATTCTTTAGCCTTAAGAGGTGCTTGGTGTGTCTTGGGGGACTTCAATGCTGTACTACAAATGAATGACAGAATTGGGGGGTGTAGAGTCACCAGAGAGGAGATTAAAGATTTTGAAGAATGCCTCGGGGATTGTGGTCTAGAAGAGGCGCCTTACACTGGGTCATATTATACATGGTCTAATAAGCAAGGCCAAGGGAAGAGAATTTACTCAAAATTAGACAGAGTATTAAGTAATGTTGAATGGGTCACAAAATATGGAGCTAAAACAATCATATTGGAGGAAGGGATCTCAGACCACTGCCCTTTGATCATTCCCAATAGCCAAAATCTGAAAACGAAGACCGAGTTTAAATATTGTGAGATGTGGAGACTAGATCCCAGTTTCCATTCAATTCTTAAGGAAGGATGGTCTAAACTAGTTGAGGGTAGACCAATGTTTCAGTTGATGCAGAAGCTTAAAGCCTTGAAGAGACCCCTGAGAAGGTTAAATAAGGAGAAGTTCCACCAGATATATAAACAGGTGGAAGTAATTAGGGCTGAACTTGAAGAAACCCAGAAGCAACTAAAAGAAAACCTAGAGGATAGTCAACTGCTGCACAAAGAGAAACAACTCACAAAGGAATATCATCTGAAACTCAAAGCAGCATTTCTTATGAGGAAACAGCAGTCCAAGATGGAATGGATTACAGAGGCTGACCAAGGATCTAAAATGTTCCATGCATGGGCAAAAAAGAGGCAATTACAGAACCAAATTGTATCCATGAAGGATAAAGAGGGTAACCTGGTAAAGGATTCAGATGGAGTGGAGAGGGTGATTATTGACTATTACCAAACTTTACTGGGCTCAACCACATTTACGGAGAATATCGAGAGTGAAATAATACAGGGGGGGAAGGTCCTATCATTAGAACATCAGTGGAATTTGATTGCACCATTTCAAAAAGAACATGTTAAGAAAGCAATTTTTGAAATACCCAACAGCAAGAGCCCTGGACCAGATGGATACTCTAGTGGATTCTTTAAGAGTCAATGGGATACAGTTGGAAGCCTAGTCAGTGCAGCTGTATTGGAATTCTTCAGGGATGATGTGACATTGAAGCAAATAAATAACACAAAAATCATCCTCATTCCTAAGATAGAGAACCCTCAAGAGGTAAAGGATTATAGACCTATAGCGTGTTGCAATGTGATCTATAAAGTTATCTCAAAACTACTTTGCAGTAGGTTGAAGCAAGTACTGCCACACATCATTAACCAGAATCAAGGGGCCTTCGTGGAAGGAAGAGAACTGTTACATAATGTACTGATCTGTCAGGAACTAGCCAAAGGATACAATAGAGTGGGGGTATCAGCTAGATGCATGATCAAGTTGGATATAACAAAAGCCTACGATTCCATTAGTTGGAAAGCAATTGGTGATATGCTGAAATACTTTAAATTCCCAGATCAGTTCATAAGGTGGGTGCTCTTCTGTGTAACTACGCCTTCATTCACTGTATGCATTAATGGAGAGAGTAAAGGGCTATTCAGAGGGGGAAAGGGGTTAAGGCAAGGAGACCCAATTTCCCCGCTCTTGTTTGTAATAGTTATGGAATATTTCTCACGAGTTTTGACCCAGTATGCTGGAAAGTACAAGCTCAGATACCACCCAATGTGTAAGGACATTAAACTTATCAATCTGTGCTTCGCTGACGACTTGATAGTAATTTGCAGAGCAGATGAGAAATCTATAAAGTGTGTCATGGAGTCCCTAGCCCATTTCAAAAAGACAACTGGGCTATCTATCAACTTGGGCAAATCCCAGATTGTAATGGCAGGGGTCAACCAAAAAGAGAAACAAAGGCTCATTGATATGACAAGGATTGCTGAGGGAAAGCTTCCCTTCACATATCTAGGCTGCCCAATCACAACAAGTAAACTGTCAACTGCTGATTGTGATTTGCTCATTGAAAAGTTAACGACAAGGATCACAAGCTGGGCAACCAAACATCTATCGTATGCAGGAAGAGCCAGGTTGATTAACTCAGTTCTGTTTGGAATTATTAACTTCTGGTGTAGAATATTCATCATTCCTGGTAGGGTAATGAAGAAGGTGCAAGCATTATGTAGAAACTACCTCTGGGGAGCTGCTGAACACTATAGAAGAGTCCCACTGGTCAACTGGGAGGATACTTGTAAACCGAAGGGCAGTGGAGGGTTGGGGTTCAGGAACCTTAATGCCTGGAACAAAGCATTGGTGATGAAGCTCAATTGGGATATTGCTAATAAGAAAGATAACCTATGGGTTAGGTGGATTCATAGCAGATATATTAAGGGAGTGAACTTCTGGGAATACACACCAAAACAGGATACTTGCTATTATTGGAGGAGGATGATAAAAGTGAGGTCAGAATTTGAGGGGATGCTCGTTAATGGTGATTATACACCCGATGAAGGGTATCTCTAGCTCATGGGCCAAACCCCTAAAATAGAATGGGCTAACTTGGTGTGGAATAGACTAACAATCCCCAAACATCAATTCAACATGTGGCTGATTATGAAGAAGAGACTACAGACAAGACAGAGGTTGAGCAAGTTCCTCACTATTGATACCAAGTGCCTACTATGTAACAATGAGGAAGAGGATAACAACCACTTATTTTGGGGATGCCTATTCTCCAAGCAGCTGTACAGGAAAGTTATGGAGCCATTGGGATGTATACTCCAAGCCTCTAGCTTCCAAGACNAGTTTAATATACAATGTTTCATTAATAGTAAAATGAGAAAGAGTAGTGTGGTATCCTGTATAAGTAGGTTTGAGATGGGAGGATTACTGAGGTTTGTATAACCTACTAATTGAGATGAGTTAATAAGATGTGATGTGGTTCAAAAAAAAAAAAAGATCAGAGCAACGTGTTTCGTCTTCCACAGATTCGACTAGCACATGAGCTGTGGTGCAATTATTGTTACAATCATTTCTAATCTGTCCGTCAAGATGGTGGAGACTATCAAGATTGGATGTGGGACAGAAATCTGGGCGGCAGGTAGATGCTGGAAATTGGGGATGACGAACAATTGGGAGCAGGGGCAGTTGTGGGATACTGGGGTAGCCTAGGGGTAATTGTGTCACTTTACTCATCACCTTGGTATATGTGCCATAATGAAAGTGGACAAAAAACTAGGGGATGGAGGGAGTATAATATAAATATACTGATAAAATGTGTTTTGAAGCATATCTAAAATAAATCTATTGAGTTTGAGTTCACACTATTTCCCCCCTCAAAATTTGTTTCCTACTTCCTACGAATTATTTTAATATTCTTCTCCTTACTTTCCTGAGCAAATCTTGTGTTCCAAACAGACATTTACACTATGTTTTGTCCAAGGAATTAGGATTTAGGAAGGAAAGGAAAATAAAAGTTCTCTCCTTTTCTTCTCCAAAATGGAAGGGACCTTGTTTTCCCTTTTCTTAGTGTATTTCTCATTTTCTTTTACTTCCACTTTCCGTTCCTCACTAACCAAACAAGAAATTAAATTTTCCAAATTATTTTTTTTCCTTCTTTCAAATTCCTTGAACCAAACATAGTGTTAGTGCTAGAGGTGATAGGGTATAAAAGTTTAAATCAACATCACATACCTGCAACAGTAAAAACATGGGCAATCCAACAATATTGCTCCTTCCAATCACTACAGCCTTCTTCCCCGTGATTTCAACATCAGACCTAAGCAGCAGCTCAATGCATCCTTTAGGAGTACATGGGATGAACAGCGGTTCTCTACCATGTATGGCCAAGTTTCCCATGCTCAGTGGATGGAATCCGTCCACATCTTTTTCTATGCTTACCATATTCAGTATCTTTTCCTTGTCCAAATGCTGTTCCGATCAACCTATAGTCAGTGACCACAGTACAACCACAACTCATGAACAAAAAAAGTCAATCATCTAAAACTGCTTGATACAAAGCTGCTTAGACTTCTCGTTGAGGCTCAACTAGAAGGTAGTCAACTGCTATTAGTCAGTAGAACTGGTACGAATAAAAAACACTGCCACCTTGTCAAGATCGTTTGATTATGGGTAAAACTGTTGGGAGAACAGGTACTTTCTCTCTAAATCAACTAGTTATTAGTGAATTGAATCCAGTGAGCAATTCCAAAGAAACAAAAATAAACACTAAAGAAGAGAAACGACAATAAACAAAATGTGGAGTAAATAAAAGAGAGAAGGAAAGCAGTCAAATAACTTAGACTCTGCACAATGTATGATATCCGATCTAAGATATAAAAGACTAAACCTTGGATGACAATGAGAAAAACGGAACTCAGTGTTAAGAACAGTTGCATTGAATTAAAT